GATTCATCATTTTTATCTGGCTGCCAGTAGCTTAGGAAAACAAAAGAAAAGCCTCCTAATATCATTTCCTGTCTGTTTCTTCGTATTGATTCGGGGACAGTTTCTTCAGCAGTAGGTAGGGTCAACCATGAGAGGTCTGACCTCATTATAAGCCAGAAAAACTAAAAGATCAGGTTGGAGAGGAAAGAAATCAATACCCGAAATTGATTTTTTAAAATCAAAAGATGCAAGATGTTAATAAAAAGGTAAGTTTATAACTGTATGCAATGACATCTCCTTATGTCAGCCTAAGAAGAAAATTATCCAGTGTAACAGCAAACCAATATAGTTGAGATAACGTAGCAAAAAATTTGAGGCAGCAAGGACACAGTTAAGTTCTTTACAGCACATTCATTTATTAAAGTGGCATTACAATCTGCTGTGTGTCATACTGTATATATTATTTTGCCCAAACAGCTTTACATGCAAATACTTATTGCAACGAGCCACTGATCTGGTTCAAGGTTTAGCAAAAAAATAGTTTCGGCAAAGTCTTCAGAGGAATCCACTTTCTTACAGTATAAAATATATTCTCAAAATTATTTATATATTAAATGTGAGTTGAATTTTAAATATTTATTAAAAAGCCTTCTTTCTCACGGCACTTTTGGTCATACCAGCCCTAGGCTATTCGTATGTGTGAATATAGGGCAGTATATTTGATGAACTGAGAGCCCTAGGATTTCTGTATATAGTAACTAAATTTTGTCATAAAATTTACTTCACACTGAAAAATGTAAAAAAGGCAAGTGACATTTTTATCAATACATTTTTTCAGACTTGAAAAATTATTTCATAACACATCTAAATTTTAAATCGTAAGAAATCTATTATTGAGTACTAACTAAAACCCCTAAATGAGGCAAACTCAGAAAAGAACATAAATTTTCAGGCTTTCTGCTTTTATAAACCTGTTTTTTTAATTCCAAGAAGAATAAATCTTGGTTAATTTATACATCGTCTAATTGCATTCTTAACCTAAAGCAAGATCATTTCAAAATAGCATGCCAAATCTTAGTTCTTTTCTTGGGTTAGGTTGGAATGGGTAAGAAAAATCATGTAATCAAAGAGGCTTGTTGAGTCTTTTTCACATCATGGTGCAGATAGGAAAAAAATGCACTGGAGTATTCAAGACCAGAGCTATGCAATAGAACTGTCTGCAGTAATAGAAATGCCCTATATCTGCTGTCCAATATGGTAGTCACAAGCCACATGCAGTTACTGAGCATAAAATATGATGAGTGTCACTTGGAAGCTGAAATTTTCATTTTATCATTGACTTAATTTTCATTTAACTTTTAAGAGCCACATATGACTAGTGGCTACCATTCAGAGTGTAGTTGTAACCTGACCATTTTTTTTTCTTTTCTTTTTTGAGACAGAGTCTCACTCTTGCCCAGGCTGGAGTGTAGTGATGCAATCTCAGCTCACTACAACCTCTGCCCCCCAGGTTCAATCAGTTCTCATGCCTCAGCCTCCTGAGTAGCTGGGATTACAGGCATGTTCCACCACAATCAGCTAATTTTTGTATTTTTAGTAGAAATGGGGTTTCACCATGTTGGACAGGTTGGTCTCGAACTCCTGACCTCAGGTGATACACCCACCTCAGCCTACCAAAGTGCTGGATTACAGGTATGAGCCACCACCCCCGAACCACAAGGTGGCATTCTAAGAGCTTTCAGTGCTCAGGCTGGTCCCCATCATTTCAAAGGAGTGAGAAGGGATGGGCCCTTCAGCAAAGTCAGAGCTCTTCATCACAACAGTGGCATGCTCTTCAAGCCATACACCCTATAGGCACTCATAGAAAACCTACTGACCCATGCTCACTCTCTCAGTGTAACAAAACAACCAAGAAAGAAAACATTTTCTCTTTTTCCACTCACTATTTGAGAGCCAATATGGGGAAAAGCTGGCATAACCAACAACCACTTATAGACAACGGGTTCCTTCCTTAGTTCAAGCGGAACATCACTAAAAGCAGCTCCTTCATTCCAACTAGTTTCTGTCATGTCCTTCCTGAAACAACACGTCATTCATATTAAAATAAGACAAAGTGGTTAACAGCATTTGCTCTGGAGTCAGACAAACTTGAATGTAACTCTCATCTCCATTGCTCACCAGCTGTGTGACTCTGGACAAGATAATCACTTCAAGTCTCAGTTTCCTTCTACGTAAAATGGGTTACCACATGTCCTTCTTCAGAGGGTTACAAGGATAAAATGAGATATGACATATACAGGATTTAGCAGAGTACGTACCATATAATAAATTTTATTTAAGTGTCATCTATCATTATTTCAGTGCTACTGAACCATCATCATCATCACACTAACTCTTTAACACAGGAGGTAGGAAAAAAAATCTACCTACAACAAATCATACTTTAAAACAAAATCTTCAATGTATCCATATATCATCATGCTTTTTTTAACACCAAGAAAATGTTTTAATTAAACTACAGAAACAAGTTATAGCACAGAATATTCATAAGTAAAAACGTACACCATGTCATAAGTACTTTCAAAGTTACTCCACATCATAAGTACTTACAAAGTTACAAACCATTTGCTTCCTTAACATTTTCTGTATTTTAAGTTCATACATGTAGATATGATCAGATTCACCATTTTGAGGAAGCAGCAGCAGCCAAGGTGTATCTATGGTCAGCTAGATGTGCTCACTGTACGTGCTGGTATCTACAGGCAAGGCCCGGGTGAGCAGAAGTGCAGTTGTCTGGAAATTTAATAAACTGGACAGCCATTTGTTTGTGTACGACAAGGCACCTTCTTCAGCCGAAATATTTGATAAGCTTAATTTCAGTATCTTATAGATTTCTTTTATACTATGTTTCTACTTTCCTTATAGTCCTGTTGTACATGTTATTTATCTGCCCAAAAAAATCAGATCTTTTTCCTATTTTTGCATCCTCTCAAAATACCTGGCTTACTTATTTGCATAATAGAAACATTCAATAAATGTCACCTGAATTAAATGTATAGAACTCTCCAGAATGAACAAAAGTGGCTACCTTTAAAGTGGATAATGAGATTTGCCCTTAAATTAATTCAACAAACAATAATAAGCGCTTACTAAGAAGCAGGTACGGTATCCTAGGGAGCTGAGAATTCAGCTGTGAACAAACAGATGAGGAACAAGGTCCCTGGAGCTTGTCTTCTAGTGAAGATAGCAGTCACAGTGAATAAGTAGAGGAAGGGTGATGGTAGATGATGAATAATGTGATGATGTGGGGACGGCAGACAGTGACCAGTAGTGATATCTGATGGAAGCCCAGGCAAGCAGCTCAGACTACATTCTATGTACCATGGAGAGCCACCACTGAGACATGACTTCACCTGATTTGCTCTTCTTCAAAAGATTGTGATGACTTCTGTGTGCACAGGACAGCAGGGAAGAGTGAAAGCAAGGGGCCAGTTAAGAGACTTCTGCAGAAGACAATGGATGTCTATCTGGCTTGGAGCTGTAGCAGAGGAGATGGATGCAAAAGCAGCATATTTAGACATGCTTTAAAGATGGAGTTGACAAGACTAGCTAACAGTCTGATGTAAGGAGTAAGGAAAAAAGAAAACAAGAATGAATCTCCCATTGGGGACTTTACTACCTGGGCCATTTACCGGGAAAGACGGAGAGGAAAAGCAAGTATGGGGGTGAAAATAAAGGTTGATTTGGAATATGTCAAGTTAAGGAATCTGTACGGGGAGATTTCAAGTAGGCAGCTGTCTATTATAATGCCTGGAATTTCAGGGAAAGGTCAGGGCTAGAGATATAATTTTGGGAGTTACAGGCATCTAGATAATAATCTCAAAACCATAAATTGGGACAAGATTACTTCACAGAAATCAACAAAGAAGCCTGGACTGAGGATTGCAAGTAGGGTGGAAGGAAAACCAAGAGTGTGGTCCAGAAGCCCAAGAAAGGGTTTCTAACAAGGAAAGCGTGCTCCCTTTCTCTCTAGTGTTAATGAACTGTGAATCCTTTTCAACTCTCCTACTAAACAAGAAGCTTCAAAGGGGCAAGAACCATTTCATATTCATCTTGGTACCCTCTGCTCTAAACATATCAGAAGCTCAATTCATGTTTACCGACTTAATGTTATTAAGGGGTTGGGGGTCACAATTGGCCCAAGTAAATGGCATTTGGGCAGGATCTCATCTTTCTCAATTTCACAATCTATAGCCAGATTTGCCCCTTTCTATAAATACAGAAAAATCTCACTTAGTCCAAAATTAATCATCCCAATTATTTTCTTGTTGTCATTTCACGATAAATAGCCTAAGTATCCATCAACTGGGCAGTATCAACAACAGTGCTGGACACACAGCTGGTGCTTAGTAAATACCAGATAAACAGACAAGTGTGGCAGGAGAGAGAAAAGGGAGAAGAAACAGCATTAAGTCTCTCCAGCAGGACCTACAGATAAAATGAGGCTTAATAATTCTTTATGGATTTCATTTAACACCATATTTCTATCAATAACTAAGACTGACTGTGACAAACTAAATCTTTTATAAACTTAGGAGACATTTATTAGAAGATAAAATCATTTAAAATACTTCACAACTTGAAAATAACAAATCAATATTTTCTAAGTTCAATTTTTTTAATAAATATTTATTCCTAAGTCTCTAATATCCCTATAGGCAATCCATTGTATACAAAAAGATATGAAGCAGCTTTCCAAAGCCTAGTAAAGGATTCAGGAAATCTCAACCCAGGGATTCAGGGATGAGAAAACAAAATTTTCAAAGACTGTTTGAAAATAGATTCATTCTTAGCACAAAACATTTTAAAAGAAACCCCAATAACTGATTTCTAATATTCCTTATAAAAAGCTAAACATCCAGATAACAAAAGACAGAATACCAGAGAGCTTGACTATTGAGTCAACTTTTTCCACTTAGAATTTTTCTCCTAAAAACCCTAATATTAAAATTCAGGAATACCTGAGGCACCATAAGCACCAGAATACCGCTGAGACTTCGAGCCAGATGGAGAGGATTCCTTCATTCGATCAATCACATTTTCCGAAAGCTGGAAAAGCAACATCAAAATAAAATCAATCATAAAAGGGCAAGAACGAAACCGGTCCCACATCCAGGTAATTTAGTCATCCACATCCATACATATAACAAATGGCCTAAAGAAATTAAGCTGAATCTAACAGCCATAAGACGAGAAGTAAGAATAATTTTAAGATTTCAAGATGCACCCCGCAGCACTACTCCTTTATTTTTATAATGCACCGCTAATTGCTCATTATAAATAACTACACTCTTCACTTTATACTGTGCACAAAATTGTTATCTTTGTGGAAATGTATGCTATCTAAACTACAACTTTACCCCAATCCTAAAAACTTATTTATGCATTAATGGGCCTTAGCTCCTTCCCTCCCTCTAGTCCCGAAGGAAAATGTTCCTTCCCCCTTCCTTCCCTCCCTCCTGTTCAAAGCTAACCACATATAATCGCCCTTTCAACAGATTTCATTATTCATCAACTATGTGCCAGAAACTAGACTAGACTCTGAGTATTCAAAGTTATCAAGTGCTTAAAGCATAACAGAATAAACAGACAACCGTAAGGCATTTAAATAGAACATGAAGGGTGGCACCTGAGTGAGTCAGCATGTAATCAAAGTATACAGAAAGCATGATGGGCAGCACAAGGAGCCAGGCTTTGAAGGCAGGGCTGGAGCAGAGGATTAGGGAAGATTTACAAGGTAAGGATGAGTAAAAGGAAGAGATTCAGTAAGATAAAAGTGCTCCTGGGTGAGAAAAATCACACTGAAGTACGGAGGAGAACCAGAATTTGCCACCGTTATTTCGACATCCAAGTGGAGATATCAAGTAGGCAGCTGGCAATAAAGCAGAGGCTCTGAGGAACACCCAGACCTGCAGATTTGAGAGTCATCATTCCCACGGTTACTAACATGTCATCCTTTCTAATTTTCTTTATAGCACTGACCACTATCTGATACTTGCTTGTTTACCATCTGCCTTTCACTAGAAAGAAAGCTCCATGAAAGCAAGGATTTGGCTGTCCTATCACTATATTCCCAGAGCCTCAAAGCCTAGTTAACTGAATGAATGAATGCTAAATGAACAAATGAAACGATATGAATAAATGGCAAGAAGTGGAGAGGGGGCATAGTGAAAGAGAAGGTGGGGAGGGAAGGTAGAGATCTGATATTGAAGATTCTGAGTGGACTCTTCAGTTGAAACAGTTTAAACTTGATCCTGAGGGTACCTGGGCATTACTGAAGGATTTTAAGCAGGGGAATGGCATGATCAGATTTACACTTTAGGAATCACTCTGGCTACAGTGTAGAGAACAGATTGGAGGGGACAAGCACAGAAGCAGGATCCCTGAAGGAGGCTAAAGGACCAATTAAGAAGCTATTAAGCATATGTCCACACAAAGACTTGCACAGAAATGTTCATAGCAGCATTATTCATAAGAGCAGGGGTTGAAACAAACACATGTCTATCTATGGTCAATGGATAAACAAAATCTCACATATCCATACAACCGAATACAATTCAGCAATAAAGAGCAGTGAAGTTCTGAGATATGCTACAATACAGACAGACCTAAAACTCATTAAGCTAAGTGAAAGAAGCAAACACAAGGGCCACATATTGAATGATTCTATTTATATGAAACATCCAGAAAAAGCATCGCTCTAGAGTAGGTAAGTAGTTGCCTAAAGCTGGGGTGGGAATAGGGATTAACTATAAAGGGGCATAATATATCTTATTGGAGTGAGAAAAATATTCTAAAATTGGATTGTAGTGATGTTTGCACAACTCGGTAAATTTATCAAGTGTTGATACTCAGGAGGCTGAGGAGGGAGGATTGCCTGAGCCCAGGAGTTCGAGGCTGCAATGAGCCGTGATGATGCCACTGCACTCCAGCTTGGGCAACAGAGCAACACTCTACCTAAAAAAAAAAAGTGTTGGAATGTAAACTTAAAATAGGTGAATTTCATGGCATGTAAATTACTCTACAACAATTTACTTTAATAAGCTTTTTTAAAAAAAAAAAAGCTATTATGGTAATCCGGGGAAGAACACACTTAAAAGGCATTTAGGATTTAAAATAGCTAACATTCACTGAGTGCTTATTATGTGCTGGGTGCTACACTAAGCTAAGCACTTCACTATTTACTCCTTAACAGGCCTATGAGTTAGATATTTTTCTTATCTCTATTTTATAGGTAAGGAAAAACTGAAGCACAGCCAGATTAAATAACTTGCCTTGGATCAGATACTTTATCAGTAGCACAGGAAGGATTCAAACCCAAAAAGTCCGAGTCTCAAGATCCCACTCAAACATCCCTCAGCATCACCATGCAGTGCAGAGGTCATCAGGGAAGACCCCAGGATTTCCATTTCAAGTAACTGGGAGATCCTCCTCCTGTCTCAAGAGTCTTCCCATTTCCACTTCCTGAACCCACCACTTTCTGGCTTTTACCCTCAGTGCAGCAGTGAATATCCTCTGATAGAAATCACCAATGACCAAACAAATAACTTCTGATATTTATGTAAATAAATATTTTATATTTATAAAATGCCCTATTTATATGACTTCCCTTTAGCATCTAACACCTCTGGTCACTCCCCTCTTCCGGAAAGCTCTCCCTTAACTTTTCTGACATCCTGCTGTCCTGGTTCTCCTAGGAGTCTGGTCACATCTTACCACTTTTGCAGCTTCCCCTCTCCTGCCTACCCTTCAATGCTCAAGGGCCCAACATTCTGTCTTTTGCCCTTATTCTCTCTTTTTTTTTTTTTTGAGATGAAGTTTCACTCTTGTTACCCAGGCTGGAGTGCAATGGTCCCACCACAGCTCACCACGACCTCCGCCTCCCGAGTTCAAGAGATTCTCCTGCCTCAGCCTCCCGAACAGCTGGGATTACAGGCACGCGCCAATTCTCTTTTCATTCTATGTGCTCTTGTACTGGTACTTTCATCCAATCTCCTGATTTCTAACTGCTGTTGAAAAACTAATAAATTCTATTAATAAATGCATTAGCTCAAGCCTAAGACCTAAATCCCAGAAGCCCGGTCTCCACACTGAATTGCCTTATGAACACCTTCCTTCTGGCAGATCAGAAGCACCTCACACCCAAAGTGTCCAAAATTGAACTCATGTTAGCCAATCTCTTCTTTCTCTGGCTTCCCTTACCTCATTAATGACACCACCAATACCCAGCTTCCTATTTCAAACATAGGACTGTTGTCAACTCTTCTCATTCTTAGCCATGATGTCATCAATCCCTAAATACTTAATGAATTCATCTCCTCTCATCCCATTTCTCCTGCCCTAATTCCTGATATTATCTACCTAAAATGCAAATGTGATAATGGTAACTCCCTGCCTCAAATTCTTCAATAGCTACCATCTATTTACAGAAAAATTCAAATTCTTTGTAAAGCATTCCAGAATTCATCATCTGGTGATGGTCTAACTCTCCAACCTCAAGTTCTGGTTTTTTCCTTAATATTTCATACCCTGTTCTACACCTATCTCTTTGCCTTTACACATGCCTACATTGCCTTCTCTCCTGGCCCCTTGGGAGGGAGTCACTTTTCAAGACCCAGTCTAACTAACATCCAAGCCTTCACTGACCAAACCAGTTCCCCACTCCATTCCAACCCTGCCTACCTAAAGCTACTATTCCTTGTGCCCACTGTTCCTTTTTCAAACCTCCAATATTGTCTCAATGAAAGAACAGGTACTGGCCTTTCCACATTCACCTTTCTGCCTTTCCACTAGATTGCAAGCTCCTATAAACGCAGTCATTCATTCAACAAACATCTCCCAGGCCAGGCACTAATCAAGGCCCTGTGATACATCAGTGAACTAAACAGTCTACACCTGAACAGTTACTTTTATCTCAGGGTCCAAACCAGAATGGAAGTGAGATGGAAAAGGGAAGGACTGCAGATCAAATGCTGTGTACGCGCTCTGAAGGAAAAAACTACAACTCCCTTCTTGAAAGATAAGTAAGTGCCAAGGACTTTCTATTTGAAAATGCCAGGGCCAGCTGCATCTAACAACTGACAGCCACTGGGAATGTTGCTGAAATTCTGCGAAGCTAAGATACATCCTAGAAAACTCCCTGTAAGACTGACTCAATTTACACCTGAGAAAAAAAGAGACTCTGAGTACCATTCAGTTACTGGCAGCATCCAGACCAGAAGCAGTCATTCCCAATCTCTAGTCCAATGCTCTACTATTAAATAACACACTCCTTCAATCTCATGCATGTAATAAAAACACATCACTTCCTCTTAAAGGGAAAAAATGAGCTTTCATTTTTAGAATCTTAAAGCTATTTTAACTGACATATAATACATATAAAGCTCAAAAATCAAGTGTTAGCTATAAGCTTGCATCTGAAAAGTTACTATTTTCATCTGATAAAATGAAAATAACATTTACTCTCAGAGATTTTGTGGAGGGATTATAGTCTTTTGCACCATAAACTATAATTGGCTACACAAATATTTGGTAAAGCTATTACCCGTATAGCTCCAGCCACAGGGACTTTTTATTTCATTTTGTTTCATTCTTATCTACTGGGTCTGAGCTTGTACTGATTCCTTCTCTATACAGTATATGAGGACTAGGCCTACAGCTATTACAGGCAGCAGCTGCCAAAGTCCTGGTATGGGTATAGAAGGTGCTCATTTTTCTCTATCTATGCTCTCTGTGTAGTAGAAGTAGAATGTCTCTTTCAACCTAATCACTAATTTCTTGTTAACTTTTGTATCTTTTTGAGGCTTCTCTGATGCTCCAAGTTGCTACTTAATGTCAAATTCTCATGTCAATTCAAAACATTTCCCAGTGGGGTCTTTGGTTATAGTTCAGTAACTTACAAGCATGCTCCAAAGGAGTATCTACTAAACCTGTTGCAGAGTTGATAAACATATTGTAGGGCTGCCATATTGAGAGTCAACCTTTCTCTTGTTCTTACAATCATTCAACAACTGTATCCTTAGGCCCTTCCAAAGCAGCACTCATGACCA